CATGGTGGTGGTGGGGTGTGAGGCAGGAGAGCAGCGGGCGCACCCACACCTGCGCCACCACCTCTATGGTCATTAAAACCGAAAACACCTACAATGTATTTGAACATCAAGTAAAGCGTAAATTTTGTTTTTATGATTCAATTTCTTTAATCAACGCCTGCCTCTGCCTCTGCCTCTGCCCCCGCAGACGCTGCACCTGGACCGCATGCTGCGCGGCGACCTGCGGTCGGCGACGTTCGAGGGCTCCACCCACTATGCCCGCGAGGGCCAGCGCCTCGCCCCCGGCATCGCCCAGACCTTCCCCTGGGCCAAGCTGATTGCGTCGATGCGGGAGCCCATCTCCCGAGCCATCTCCATGCTGGCGCACAACCTGGACCGCCGCAGCATCGGCTGCCTCACCAAGTGCGCGCTGCGGCGGGGCCAGCCGCGGGCTGGCGGGGCCGGCCGGGGGCGGCGGTTGGGCCGCCACCCCGCTGTTGCTGTGTGTGGCTGGCAAGCGAACCAGCCGGCTGGGCGCTTGTAAGCGTGTGTCACTGCAAGTGGGGGGCTTGCGTCGTGCCGCTCGCAACATGTCTGCATCCCGACCGTGCCGCCCGCCTGTGCCGCCCGCCCGTGGCTGTACCGCCTGTACCGCCCGTACCGCAGGCGCCACGTCTTCCACTGCCTCGAGCGCGACCTGCCCGGCCAGAACTACTCCGAGCCCTTCCAGGCCTGGCTGGACGCCTTCCCGCGGGAGCAGATCATGCTGCTGCAGTACGAGAGCCTGACCGCGCCAGAGCATGTGGCCAGCCACCTGCGGGCCGTCAAGAGGTGAGGCGGCGGCGCGGCGCTGCTATGGGGAAGGGGTGGCGGGTGTTGGGGGGCCGGGGAGGTGAGGGCAGAGGGAGGTGCACAGAGGGAGAGGCAGAGAGGAGGGATGACTGAAGGCTAGCCGGCCCGTCGGGCCGTCGGCCATCCAGCTGTCCGTGGTTTGACGCCTGCTTGGTTTGAAGCATCTTGCCACACCAGTGCACGGGTGCCCTGCCGCTGTCCTGACCCTCCCCACCGCCTCTCCTTTCTGCCCGCCTGCAGCTTCCTGGAGGTCGACCCTGAGCTGCCTGCCAATGAGCTGATCAAGAGCAACACGCGGGAGGAGCGGCTGGGCAAGAAGGTGGGCTGGGCGGTGGCTGGCTGGCTGGGGGCGGGTTGTGTGGCTGCCTGCGGCGGCTGCTGCTGCTGCTGGTGCTGTGCATGATGAGCTCATGCGCAAGCTGTGCGTGCATGTGTTGCACGTGTTGCGTGCGGCCCGGGCAGCGGCAGCGGCCCGGCCTTAGGGTCGCCCGGACCTTGCGTGCCACTGTTGGGCCGGCGGGACGGCCCCGCCGGCATTCTATTCTGATGACTGGCCCCACGACCAACCACCACCAACAACAACCTGCCTGCAGCCCGAGGGCTGGCCCATGAAGCGCCACGAGTACGAGAAGCTGGTCGCGATGGTCCGCCCAGATGCCGAGAGGTGAGGCTGCGTGTAGCTAGCCCTTCCAACACTGAACACCGCCGACGCGCCCGCCTGCCCGCCTGCACGCCCGCTGCTCCGCCCCATCGGCCGCCCCGCGGCCGCCTGCCCGGCTGTCCTCCGCCCACGCTGACTCGCTTTCTTTCCTTTGCTGACTCGCTTGCTCACCTTTGCCGCCCGCCGCGCCCCGCTGCGCCTGCCCCGCCTCTGCCGCCGTGCCGCAGGATTGCGCACGTGGTGACCAGCTACGGCTTTGGCGACGGCAGGCAGTGGATGCGCAACTGGGAGCGCGCGTGGCAGGCCAACCTCAACTCCTGCAACCTGCAGGACGACTGCGTCATCCAGCTGACCTGACGCGGCAGCTGGCAGCCGCCCACCTGAGCTGGAATCCGACACCGACTGCTAGCCTGTGCATGGGGCTGGGCTGTCCATTGAGCGGCAGCCGGGCCTCTGGCCTGTCGCTCCGCTGGCTGCCGCAGCGCCGGCGCTCCCGCCGAGCAGCGTGGCTTCTGGGCCTGAGCGCCGCCCATCCCCAGGGCCCCCCTCCCTCTCTCTCCCCCCTGCTTTTTGTGCTGATCAATGCGTCCACCCCGATTCTTCGGCAGCCCGCGTGCCGCCGCCGGCCTCGCACGCGCCGCCAAGTTTTGCCCCAGCAAGCGCCCCTTGATGGGTCTTGCGCTTACACACTGCCAACCCCCGTCCCTTTCTGAACACACACACATTGCCTAGGGCAGCATCGCTTGCGCCGTTTTGCCGGGCTGATTTCATGGGGCTCCCCCCAACTTGACCGAGCGCCGCCCTTCTCTCCCTGCTCCCGCACCATGCCTACAGCTGGCACCCTTTACCCCCTTGACCTTCATCCTAGATTTATTGCCGCCCTGCCACGCATGCTGCCATGGCCTGCCTATTGCCCGGCAGAGCCTGTCAGCTGGCAGCTGCTGCACACCAATGCACTCCACGTCCTCGCTGCTACAGCTTGCCCCGTGCCACTTTTGCCCCCCACCCCCGGGAGCATGGTGTGCGCCACACTGCCCCCCGCCAAGCGGATGGCTCTGCTCCCCCCACACCTGCACAGCCATTCTTTATTGCAGCGCCGTAACTTGTTCCCTGGTTTTGCTGCGCCCCTCTCTCTCCTCTGCTGTATCCCTTACTCCCACACAATGCACGCGCGGTAGACGAACGCCCGCTGCATTGGGCAGGCGTGCCGCCGCCACCACCCTCGCACACCACCGTTGCTCTCTTTCTTCCTGCTCCCGCTGACTGACCCAACCAACCACCTCCCCTGCCACTCAGAAGACTGAATCATCTTGACTCCACTGCCTGCCCAGATGACTCTCTTTTCCTCCCTTGGCAAACGCGCTCCACTCACAACTTATAGCAACAACAAACGCACGAGCGATCGCAGAGGCAGGATGAAGAGGCACCGGCAGAGCAAGGACAAGGTTCAGTCCGTGCACGGCCGCTGCCGCCGCCGTGCGGTGCTCCCTCCCCACCCCTAGGGACCAGCGCCGCATGTTCAGCCTCCAGGGAAGCAGTGCCGCATCCAGTCGCTCAGCAGGTAGCGAGCGCCGCCGGGCGCCAGTGCTGTGAAGTAGCGGCCCACCTCCGGGTGCAGCCTGAAGCCTGCAGAGCGGCAGTCAAACCATCAGGCGGCTGTGCATGCTGGCTGCTGCTGGCAGGGCACACCAGGGCACAGACAGGAGGCCACATGCGGCGGTGCAGCAAAGCCCTCTTGCGTGCGAGACACTGCGCAGGGGGACAGCAGAATGCAAGAGGAAAGCAGTGGAGGGGTGGCAGGTGGGCAGACGCGCCTGGATCAGCGGCGTGCGGCGCCGCCAGTGCCTCTGGCTGGACGTTCTCCTGGGCCACATACGTCTGCGCCTGGCCGGGGCGGTCCTCCGGGTCAGGAAGCACGTGGTAAAAGGGCTGGCGCCGGCCGCCTGGGCAGGCAAGGGGCGGGGCCAGCAGTGCGTGCAGCATGGAGCATGCGAGCGTGGGCGGTGTGGCAGAGGGAGGGAGGGGGCAGGGTGCTGCTGCCAGCTGTCTGCACCCGCCCCACCCAAAGCCTCCATAACTGGTCCCAACAGCGCACAGTTCCCCCCAACCGCATCGTGCTCCCAGTCCTGGCGCTGCATGTGCTTTGCTGGGTCCTGCCGCCGCGCCTCACCTGGCAGCCTGTCCACTCCCATCTGCTGCACCCACTCCTCGCTGGCCCGACACTCAGGGTCCCAGCCGATGATGACGCCCCTGTGGCACAGCAGGCACAGCATGGGCACAGCGTGGGCAGCAAGCAGGCGCCAGGAAAGCAAATGGCAGGCATGCACGGATGTGTGCGCGTGTGTTTGTGTGTGTTTGTGTGTGTGTGTGTGTTGTCTGGTGGCGAAGGCGCTGGCACCCCAGCAGGGCCTGCCAGCCCCTCCAGGGCCCTGCCTCACCTGTACTGGTACCGCCTGTGTCGTATCACCTGGCCCACAACAAACGATACCGCCTCCTGGCCCTCGCGCGGGTGCACCCTGCAGAGCCGCCAGCAGAACGTTGCTTTAACACTCCCGTCGACAGCTTTATTCATCGGCAGGCAGGCGCAGGCCTGGCTGGCCGGCGCCTGCCAAGGCCGTGCACCCACACACGCTGCCAGCACAGCGTTGCGCCGTTGTTGTATGTCCGAGTATGTGTGAGGGAGGCAGCGGGCTCTGCATGCAGCCAGCAGCAGCGCCAGCAGGGAGCAGGGGACTCGCCTCATCTGCTGCTCCACATACGCCTCTGCCGCCGCCTCGATCTCACCCAGCATGGAGCGCAGGGCGGTGGCGTGCAGCGCTGCGGCGTGGCCCTGCTGCACCTGGTAGGTCCCGCCCACCAGCTGCAGGCAGGGCAGCAGGCCGGTGCCGAGAGAGTGCGTGAGCAGCTGGGGGCAGGCGGGCGGCGCCGGGGCGGGCAGCAGAAACCGGCGGTGCCGTCGAGGGCGAGGGCGGCGAGCCGTGTGGCGTACAAGCGTGCAGGTGCCTTCCAAAGTAAAGCAGTGCCCGCCCAACCCACCCCACCCCACCCCACCCACGCCACGCCACGCCACGCCACGCCATGCCACGCCACGCCACACCACGCCACACCACACCACACCACACCACACCACACCACACCACCCATACCACACCACACCACGCCGCACCCCCGCACCGTCTGCAGCAGCTCCGCGGCTTCGTGGTGCTGCTGCAGCGCCATGCACGCGTTGGCGGCCTCTACGGCGGCGCGCATGCCCTCCGCTGCGCCAGCAAGGGGTTTGGGCGGGGTCGCGGCGGGCGTGGGCAGGCCAGCTGGCCAGCCTGCTGAACGCTCGGCCAGCGCGGCTCGGCATACCGCAGGGAGGAGCAGCAGCGCGACGCCGCCAGCCTGGCAGGCGGGCTTGCCTGAGCCCTCGCCTGCCGCCGCCGCCATGAGGAGCGCCACCGCCTTGAGCTTGCCATACTCTGCATGCTCCCTGCAGGGAGAGGCCAGTCCAGCCCAGCTAGCCACACGCTTGCTCACAGCTCACCGCATGCATGCCATCAGGGCACGTGCTGAGCCTAAACCATCGTGCACTGGCCAGGCACCAACAGCACGAGGCTGGGTTCCACGGCAAGGACTACACAGGCACAGGAACGCAGCATGAAGCAGTCGACAGCAGCAGGCACCTGTGCAGGTGCAGCAGGTTGCGGCACATACGCATCCAGCACTGGGCCGGAGTCATGGCCTGCAGGCAGCAGGCAGGAGCCACCTGGCTGCACTCTTGCTGTGCCGGTGGCAGGAGCGCCCATGCCCCACGCCGCCTGGGCGCATCCACGGGGCCCAGCGCAGGGCCTTCCCACATACCTGCGCCTCCAGCCCAAACTGGTCCCCAGGCAGGCCCAGGCCTTGCAGGAACTGCGAGAATTCGAATCTGCGTCTCGCAGCAAGGGCGGGTGACGGGTGGGCAGAACGGCGGAAGGCCTGGCGATGCTGCAGCTGGCAGGCAGGCAAGCAAGCGCGGCAGAGAGCGAGCGGGAAAGGTGCCACGCTGCCCATGCGCCGACCTGTCGAGCACGCGCCCGCCACCGAACACATCCACAAACCAGCGCTGCGCCTCCTGGCCGCCGCCGCCGGGATCCTCCTGCATCACATGCACCAGCACAGGCGCCGGCAAAAGCTGACGCAGCAGTGCGGCGCAACACAGGGGTGGCCAGTTGCAGCAATGCGTGGCTGGCGGCATGTCTGGCAGCCTCCCGTGAAGGCCTGAAGGAACTGCTGCTCAGCGCCTCACCATGGCACACACCACATGCATCGGCACGTTGAGGAGGGTGATGGGTAGGCCCGCACGCACGCCAACCTGCAGGCACGGCACGGCACGGCACGTCGCAACAGCACACAACAACGCCACCGGCGGAGCACCGGAAGCCATTGCTAAGCCGTTGATGCACTGGCTGCGTCTGGTCGGCTTGCTGGTCGCAGGCTCAGACAGCGTGCCAGCCCAGCCTGGCGCTCGCTCACCGCCTCATACAGTACGGCGAGGGAGATGGGGATACCCTCCCGATTGCTCAGCACAAAATCCAGCAGGCTGTTGGTGGTCTCGTAGTATCGCTCACGGTTGCCCTGCAGTGCCATCGGCGGTACAGACAACAGTACCATCAGCACCAGCACCGGGTGTACCCGTGGCAACAGCGGCAGAAAGGACTAGCAGCTCTGAACAGGCAGAGCGGCGTGGAGGCGGGCCCAGCGCTTGCCGTGATCTCCATCCCGTGGCCGTCTGGTGGCGGGATGCTGGCAAAGTGGTAGTGGCGTGGCGGCGGGCCCGGCCCAAAGAGCAGCTGGCTCAGCAGGCGCAGCGCGGGCAGCCCGCCGCGCACGCCTGCAGGCCGGGAGGGTTGCAAGGGAGGGCCAGGTTTGCTGGAAGCTCAAGCTCTGACAGCATCGATTGCCAGCTGGGAAGGGATCCAGGCCTGCAAGCCAGAACGGTGGACGCAGCACAGCTGCCATGAACAATGCCTGCCTGCCTGCCTGCCTGCCCACCTTCAGCCTCCATGCGGTGGCGCAGCTCCACCCCGAGTGCATCCAGCGCCTGCCTCACCCAGGCCAGCTCTGCGGGCGAGGGCAGCAAGCCAGGGGGCGCGGCGCCAGCAGGCATGGGAGCACGCCTTCAAGCTGGCCTCGCTGCCACAGGGCTACAATGGCAGGGTTGCGTCGCAGGTCGCCCAGCCAAATGCCTGTGGGCATGCCCGCAAGTGGCCCTAGATGCCCACCCCCAAGCCCAGCCCCAGCCCTCCCGAGCGAGCCCACCTGCAAAGTGCTGGTGAACCGCCGACAGCGCCAGCGCCCCCTCCTCAAACGCCAGCGCCACCAGCATGCGCAGCTGCTCGTCGGCCTTGCCGTGCATCACGCCGGCCCAGGCAGAGGCGTGGCTCTGGCCCGCCGCGGCGCTCTCCCCGCGATCCCACTCCTGGCGAAGCATGGCAGCCGCTTCCGCCGCCGCATCGCCGCCTGTCGCCGCAGAGCCAGCAGCAGCAGCGGCGCCAGGCGGCTGCTGCCCGGCCGGCGCCGCGGCACCTGTGGGCTGCTCCCCTGCAGGGCCCGCCGCCGGCTCGCCTGCCTGCTCCGCCCGTCTGGCCAGCACGGCCGCCGCCGCCTCCACCATGGCTGCCTGCCTCCTCAAGCGCTGCGCGCAGTGGCGCACATGCAGCTCCTCCTGGGCTTGCAGGGCCCAGTAAGGCGCGAGGCAGGGCGCGGCGGCCGCGGCGGCGGCGACGTCGGGCCAGTCCTTGTTGGCGGCTGCGGTGGGGATGCAGTCAGCCCCCGCCAGCCCCAGCAGCACGTCTCGCACGTCGGGGTAATGCAGCTGCAGCAGCTGCTCAAGCGTGGCACGCTGCCGGTTGGGCCACTGCAGCGCGCTCAGCAGGGACAGCGCCCGCGCATCCAGCTGCAGCAGAGCAGGGAGGGGAGGGGAGTCGCCCGGGCGCGCGTGGGGTGCCACGTGTTGAGCAGGTGCTGGCAGGCCGGCAGGGCCACGCAAGCGGGCATGCCGCGGCTGCTCTTTGGGCCGCAACAAGCTTGCAGCCAGCTGGCGGCCCCACCTGGCGGCGCTGGCGGTACAGCTCCAGCCAGCGACCGTCCCGCCTCAGCGCCCCCAGCTGCCCAACCGTGCCGCCGTGCTGCCACCGGCGTGCGGCGAGCGACTGCCACAGCGGCGGGCAGGCGGCCGCCTCGCGCCAGGCGCGGCATGTGGCCATGCAGGCTGCCAGGTCGGCGGCTGACAGGCTGGCAAACACTTGCTGCGCCACCTCGGCTGGCAGGGACAGGATGCTGGGTGGCCCCTCGTCGGACGGCGGCGGCGGGGCAGGCGGCGGCGGCGGCGCTGCCGCCGGCGCCCCAGACGCCGCTGCTGCCATGTCGGCGATCTGCAGCCGCCGAGATCAAGAGGCTGCTGTGAGCAGGCCTGCCAAGGCCCCGCAGTGGTCTAGACCGATCGGGGAGGCTGCGGCTGGTGCTGTTCCCACGCAGGATGCTGTCCAGGGCGTTGTGATTGATGGCAATGTGTGCACGAGTGTGCAGCCTCCAACCAAGTACCACACAACCATTTCGGGCTCAGCTTGGGCGCAGTGTCGCTTCATGCCTGCTTGGAGATGGGGATCAATTCTACACAATCCACGCTCCCCGCTAGGCCTGCAGTGTGCTGTTGCTGAAGTTGGTTCACAGCTCGCAGCTCGAGTTGCCACTGGAGGGCCCCATTCGATTGACACAAGGCTGCTGATACGCCGCCACACTTCTGGAATACTGCTGGCCAAGGCGTGCCTGTCGGCGCCACTGCCGCCGCCACTGCCGCTGCCGCCGCCGCCGCCAGTTACGGGCCGGCCTCATGAGCAAGCGGCAGCAGCAGGGATCGCCAGCAGGAGCAGGCCAGGAGGGCGAGGAGGAGGATGAGCTGGATGCGCTGCTGCAGCACTATGAGCAGCAGGCAGCGGCAGATGCGGCGGCCGTGCAGCAGCGTGCCGGTGCCGGCAGCGGCGGCCAGAAGCGGCCCAAGCTGACCGCTGCCGACAAGCGCGAGGAGGCGCTCAGCCAGCCCATTGGGGCAGACAACAAGTGAGGTCGGCAGGGGCTTGCCTGGTGTGCCTGCCTGCCCTCGGCGCCATGCCTGCAAGGGCCTAAAGCCGTTGCTGCTCAAGGGCCTGGCCCTTAGCACGGAACCGGCCGGCGCCACACACAAGATTGCCTGCTCGTGCCTGCAGGGGCTTCAAGCTGCTGGCAGCTATGGGGTATCAGTTGGGGCAGCGCATCGGCAAGAGGGGCACGGGGCTGGCGGAGCCGCTGCCGCTGCAGCTGAAGGAGGCATGTTGCTGCTGGGTGCTGCCCACCGCATGCTGGGCATGCTGCGCTCATGTGGGCCGGTTGCTGCCTGTCGGGCCGCCGCATGCGAGTGGCCTGATACCGCAGCGCGCACGTCGCCCGCCCGCTGCCTGTCCCCACAATGCCCTTGCCGGTTGCTCCCTGCCGCTGTTGCTGGGCGCAGGACAAGCTCGGCCTGGGCGCCGTGAGCAAGAAGGCGGCGGCCCGCGAGCAGCAGCGGCAGCGGCAGCGCGAGGCGGAGCAGCGGGTGGCGGCGGGCGCGGTGGCTGCGGAGGCCGAGCGCCACGGCCAGAGGCTGGAGTACCAGCAGCGAGCGGCCGCCGCGGCGGCTGCGAGGCGGCTGGAGGGGCAGCTGAGGAAGGCGCAGCAGGTGTGCGAGACGCTGGATACCGCCGCGGGCGTCGCGCGGTGCGTCATGTGGCAGGCGCCGCCCGCAGAGGCGGCGGCGGCGGCCTCGGCAGCAGGCATGACCGCGGCTGTGGCGGCAGATGATCTGCTGGAGGCGCTGGAGCCGTGCCACTCGGCGGAGGCGGGTGCCGCCGTGAGGGCGGGGCGGGAGGAGGCGGCAGACTTTGCGCTGCTGTATGAGCGGCAGGCGGCAGCAGCGGCGGCAGCAGGGCGCCCTCCAGCAGACGCTGCGGCGGATGGGCAGCAGGCGGATGCCCAGCAGCAGCAGCAGCAGCAGCAGCAGGAGGAGCGGCGGGAGTGGGAGGCGTGGCAGGCGCTCCCGCCGGCAGACCAGCTGGCGGCGATCTTGGCGCGGCTGCGCGGGCGCTACCTGTACTGTTTGTACTGCGGCTGTCGCTACGACAGTGCCTCAGACATGCAGCGCAACTGCCCGGGGCCGCTGGAGGCAGACCACGAGTGATGCGGCGGCAGAGGCGGCAGAGGCGGCGGGAACAAGCGTGGCGGGCCTGCTGCGTGGGCCTGAATTGCCGTGTGTTGCTGTAGGCAGGCATTTCATTTTTTCCTGGTGTTCTAACCACGATCCTGCGGAAACAGAGCCAAACACACGGGCTCACGCTCGTGGCGTGAACACCATCACTCCGCGCCTGTAGCCAGCTTCCAGCGCAGCATTGGTTTCCACCGCGATCAGCCAAGGAAGGGACGGACGGGGCGACCCGATTGCGCATCGCTGCACACAGCCGCTTTCGGGCAGCCCTGCAGCGCGCTGCTCAGACTGCGCACCACGCCTCCAGCCCCCACACCGCATTGCCCCGCGGCGGGAGGGGCGCGCTAGCCAGGCAGCGCACGGCGCTGCCGCGGCGCCAGGGGTGGCGGCGGCATGGCGACCAAAACTACTAAGCGCGAGCCGCAGGTGGAGCTGCGCAAGCTGACCGACGACTACTGCGAGTTTGTGCTGAAGGGCACGGACGTCAGCATGGCCAACGCGCTGCGCCGCATCATCCTCGTAGAGGTGCGGGGCGGCGGGACAGAGCGGGCGGCGCAGCGGGCGCTGCACGTGGCGTTGCCTCCGCCCGCCCCCTGCGCATGCCTGCCTCCCTGCTGCCGTGCCCGCCACCACCCTCTCCACCCCCTCGCACCCGACCTGCACCCGCTGTTTTCCTCGGCGCCCCGCAACCGGTGTGCCCTGCCGCGGTGCCACCCTGCCGCGCGCCGTGCCGCCATCGAGCGCAGGTGCCCACCATTGCCATCGAGCTGGTTGAGTTTGAGGCCAACACCACGGTGCTGAACGACGAGTTCCTGGCGCACCGCCTGGGCCTCATACCCCTCGTGTCCACCCGCGTGCACGACATGAAGAGCATCTACGAGGCACAAGTGGGCGCATGGGTGGCCCGCAGGCGGCGGCACTGTGCGGGGTGCCAGTGGCT